ACAAAAAACATTAAAAAAAACATGAAAGAAGTAAAAAAAGAATTTATTGATCAAATTTCTAAAATCATTGAAAAAGATGCTACAGAAGTAAAAAGCAATCTGAACATGATAAGTTATGAAGAAAAGAGTTCATTAGTAATATTTTACACGACACTTGAACTCTATGAACAAATTTTAAAAAACAAAAAAACAACATCGAATCATTTGTTCGAAATTGAAATAGAAGAAAATATTCTAAAATGCATAGAATATATGCATTTATGCAAAATCTGTAAAAGCTACCATGCCAACTTTTATAATAACGATAAAACTAATTGTGAATTCTTCTGCATGAAATGCAAGGATAAGAAAAAACACCAGAATTGTGGAGAAAAAAAAATAAAATAAAATGTAGATTGTGTCATGAAACACATGACAATAATTTAAAAAGTTGTATCTACCTAAATAAATACATAAGAGAAGATTTCATTAAAAGCAATAGATTTGAAGTATATAAAAAATTGAATTTGTTTCAAGAAAAAGAAGAAGAACAGTCTGTTCTTGAAGAACAGTCTCTTCTTGAAGAACAGCTTTATGAAGAACAATTAGTTGATGACAAAGAATTCCCAAATCTAAAATTTTCCAATACCTCAACTTCAAGTGAAAGTTCCATTAGCAGCAGTGTTGGAACCAAAAAATTAATTGTTGTAGAAGATATTAAAGTTGAAAAAAAAATTAAAAAAAAAAAATTCCTAAAATAAAAATCTTAGAAGAAAATTTATCTAGTTCAGATTCTGAAAATGAAATGGATACTTTTAAAAATATTTCATTAAAAAAGAAAAAAATATTTTTTAAAAATGAAAAATGTTTAAATAGTTCTTCTGAAGAAGATGAAGAAAAAAATGAATCATATGATTTAGATTATATACCTAGCAGCAGTGATAATTTTGATGATTCTGATAATAATTATTAATATTAATTTTCTAATAATAATTATTAATAATTATATCAATATTTTTTTTTGAAAAATAATTATAAAAATAAAACAAGTGAACATATTATATATCTTATTAAAAATTTAATTTTAATGAAATATAATTATAAAAATTAAAACAAGTGAATATATTATATATCTTATTAAAAATTTAATTTTATTGAAAAATAATTATAAAAAATAAAACAAGTGAACATATTATATATCTTATTAAACATTTAATTTTATTGAAAAAAAAATTATAAAAAATAAAACAAGTGAACATGTTATATATCTTATTAAAAATTTAATTTTATTGAAAAATAATTATAAAAAATAAAACAAGTGAATGTATTATATATCTTATTAAAAATTTAATTTTATTGAAAAATAATTATAAAAAATAAAACAAGTGAACGTATTATATATCTTATTAAAAATTTAATTTTATTGAAAAATAATTATAAAAGATAAAACAAGTGAACATATTATATATCTCATTAAAAATTTAATTTTATTGAAAAATAATTATAAAAATAAAACAAGTGAACATATTATATATATCTTATTAAAAAAATTATAAAAATGTTTTCACAAACTAAAACTTTAAGTGAAATTTTGCAAAAAGACAAGTTATTTTTTAAAATACACCACTAAATTTTTAAAAAGTCATAACAATTTTACATAAATTGGAAATGAAATTGTAAAAGAAATTAAAAAAGGTAAATATTCAGAAGTGAATTTTATAATTATTGACAAGCAAAACATCAAAATCAATTTGAAAACTTCAGAAAATTTGGAAAAAGTCTTAGAAGAAAGTTTGAAAATCGAAAAAAGTTTTAAAATGACACTAAATTTAGAATATATGCCAAACATAGCGAAAATAATGACTGTGTATAATTGTGGAAAAAGCACAAAAAACATTAAAAAAAACATGAAAGAAGTAAAAAAAGAATTTATTGATCAAATTTCTAAAATCATTGAAAAAGATGCTACAGAAGTAAAAAACAATCTACACATGATAAGTTACGAAGAAAAGAGTTCATTAGTAATATTTTACACGACACTTGAACTCTATGAACAAATTTTAAAAAACAAAAAAAACAACATCGAATCATTTGTTCGAAATTGAAATAGAAGAAAATATTCTAAAATGCATAGAATATATGCATTTATGCAAAATCTGTAAAAGCTACCATGCCAACTTTTATAATAACGATAAAACTAATTGTGAATTCTTCTGCATGAAATGCAAGGATAAGAAAAAACACCAGAATTGTGGAGAAAAAAAATAAAATGTAGATTGTGTCATGAAACACATGACAATAATTTAAAAAGTTGTATCTACTTAAATAAATACATAAGAGAAGATTTCATTAAAAGCAATAGAATTAAAGTATATAAAAAATTGAATTTGTTTCAAGAAAAAGAAGAAGAACAGTCTGTTCTTGAAGAACAGTCTCTTCTTGAAGAACAGCTTTATGAAGAACAATTAGTTGATGACAAAGAATTCCCAAATCTAAAATTTTCCAATACCTCAACTTCAAGTGAAAGTTCCATTAGCAGCAGTGTTGGAACCAATTTGGATTATAAAACAGCTTTGAAAAAACCAATGATAAAAAAAAGAAACTTAAAAAAAAAAAAATAAAAAAAAGGTGAATACCTATCTGAATCTGAAGATGAGGAAGAATAAAAAAGTAAAAAAAATAAAAATAAAATAAAAAAAATTAAAAAAAAATTTATTATATCTTATTATATCTTAATATTTTATTTTATTATCTTATTATATCTTATTATATTATATTATATTATTTTTTTTAATCATATTATATTATTATATATTTTTTTTAATTATATCATATTATATAATTTAAAAAAATATTTAATTTTTTTTTATTAAAAACCTCTATTAATAAATCCTTGATTAAAAAATTTTTCTTCTATTCTATTTTTATAATCATCATAATTTTCTGAGTAAAATAATAAACAAGATTTTGTTTCTATTTTTATTTTAGCTTCTTCATTAGATATAAACATATCTTGAATTGATATTTTACCATCATAAATATTATTTTTAATTTTTTCTATATTATTATTTAAAGTAGTTTCATCCATTTTAGGATTTTCTCTGGTAAAATTTAAAATAGCATTATTTATAAATTTTCAATTCTACTAGGAATTAAAAAAGTATTTGTATTATATTCTAACCAACCATTTGATGTGTTAATTAAAGCAAAAGTTCCAATTTTATTTTGAATAGGTATTTTTGTATCAAAAGGATTTTTATTTAAAATATTAATTTCATCATCAATAAAATCATAACATAAAACAGCTTTTAAATTATAATCTATTTTAGAAATATTTAAAGTTTCTTCAATAGTTATAGGTGTTATATTAATATATTCATTTACATTAACTTTATTCATAAAAAACTGTGGATGTGAAGGATTAGGATAAAATCTATTTTGTTCTCTATTAACACTAATAATAAAAATACCATTTGTTAATAATATTGAAACAGGTAAAAATGTTTTATAATTTTCTTGAATTATTCCAGCTCTAGTTATTAATGCAGGTTTTACAGCATTAAAATCAACTTCTATTTTTTGTGTTGTTAAAGCATCTATATATTCATTTAATAATTCTTGATGATTTAGATTAAACACATTAGAATTCTCATTATAAACAAAAACTACTTTTTCTGTAGTTGGATTATAACTTATATTTCTTAAGTTTGCATTGGTTATAAAAGCTCTATTATCATTATTAAAAACATTCATATCAGGTAAAGGATATTCTATATTATAAACAGAACTTGGTATAGCATATGCTATTGATTCATTTTTAAAATTAAATATATTATTACCAAAATTATTTATAATTCTTGATTGATTAATTATTCCTGAATTGATATAAAAAATAAAAAATATTTTATTTAAAAATAAAATGAACTGCATATAATAAAAAAAAGTATTAACTGTTTTATTTATATAGCAGGATATTTATTTTATTTCTGCAATTAAAAGAGCTTTTTGATGGTATTTTTATTGTACAGTATTTAATTGGATATTTTATAAACTTATTTTTATTTTTTAGAAAAAATGAATACTAACTCATCCACCACCCAGCGGACTATAAAGAAAGGACGTCAGCAATTTCTTAATATTTACAAAAAATTTCACTATAAGTACATATTATAAATTGTATTTGGAAGATAAAATCTTTATAAACTTATGGTCTTCAAAAGTTAGTAATAGATACTAATGTCACTAAAACATTACACTCCTACAACAGTTTAAGCTTGATAATGAAGCAAAAGGTTGATTATAAGATGTTCAGAAGCTGAGTATAAACAAATAACAAGACGCTAAAGTGTCAAACAAAAGTTTACAGCCTGATACCCCTAAGATTTACTAATTAATAAGAATTAGGAAACCCATTAAAAGATAAATTTGTAATTAAGCTTTCTTTAAAACAAGTTTAAATATAAGTTCTTTAATTATATTAATTCATTAGAGTGTTTCATTAATATTTTAGACAAATTTGGGTGTTCTTGAGCAGGATGTGACATTGTACTGTTCAATTTAACTGGTGTGAACCAAGATTGAGTGCATACAGTTGGCTATACTACCTTAAAAAAATAGGACAGTCAATATTAAATGAAGACCACAAGTACAGACAATATAGGTTTCCATTTTTTGTGACACAAGTATCAGGTTGCTAGAAGTTGATGGCAAACAGGCTTCCCTGGTTCAATCCCCAGTCATGACAGTTAACTTGTTATAATGAATTATTTAAATACAATTGTTGTGTTTGCTGTTTCCTCTTTGCAGCTTCCACAGTTTTTGTCACGGTGGGTTTCAGCAAAAAGTTTAAATATTTTACTAAAAAAGATGCAAGTTAAATCAATGCTATACTCTAGAGGCACGCGCTTTACCATTGATCTAACTCGATCTCTAATTAAAACTTGTTTATAATGGCATTTAAAATTATAAATGGACTTAAACCTTGATTGGATAAGCAATATTACATATCCCTCTTTTACAGGATGTCTCATCAAGAGAATAATCAAGGCAGGCAACAGCAGAATCAAGAGCTTCAGCAACAACAGCAAGATCCCCAGCAACAGGCTCAGCAACAGCAACAGCCAAACCTCTATTTGGCTCACTTTCATCCTTATGAGGTTTATTACAATCGGGTACATCGCACACGGCACACTGTCCAAAGTGGATTTATATCATCAACTTCTAGAACACCATATGATGTCACTTGGTACAAAGCACAGACGGTATATGCTCCATCTAACACCCTTAATGGAGCAGCGCAGGACCCGAGAGTAACATCTAGTGAAGATGATGAAAATAGTCATCATTTAAGAGAACTTTTAAATGATGATCTTTACTAGATGCACCAGTTGCGGCGTTTAACTGAGCCAATACTACAAATTCATTGTAATTTTCAATAAATAATTGTGTATAACATGTGTTAGTGATTCATTTACCTTTTCTCCTGCTGGCGATATGTCAAATGTTAGAGCCGGTATAGCTACAAAAACATTCTAAAATAATCAGTGGAATCAAAAGCATCCGACAGAAGTCACTAGAATTAAAGGGTATTCCATAGATATACTAATTAAAACAATAATCAAATAATACATTTCCTTTTCTTACTCACCCACTAGAATTCATCAGTGCGTAAATAAATCCAGGGTGTGACTTTTAACACCTGCGAGTGGTCGACGAGGGAAACCCCTGAAGGAACGCCTAGGATTGTGACCAACGAAGCGGCTGATGTTTATGTTCTTGCCTTCGCAGAATTGCTGACAAGAGAGGCCAGCCTGGAGGGGCGACCCATCGGCACACTGCGATGGAGTGTGAAGATCTCCTCCGTACTCCGACGACGACAATTTGACCGGGAAGACACAGGAAGCCTGTAAGTTCGTGGCAGAGATTGGGTTCGTCCCTCAGTAGGATCCCAGCCCGTAAAACCTGCCAAGTTCATGGTCAAGGAGAGAGACGGGAGTGAATCGATGGTGTACCAACAAGACGATCCGACCACCGCCGAGTTGGAGCAACCCCTCCGGATCAAAGGATACCCTGGCACCCTCTTCCCCGCCACCCAACAGATGTCGTGCGGGGTCCAGAAGAAGAGACAGGGAAATGAAGAGCAGCCTGAGCCACTAGAGACGGACAACCCAACAGGGCCAGAGTCACCAACATTCTCGCTGGATCACTCCAACCAGAACAACATCAGAACACCATCGAGACCCAGACGGCCCAAGAAGATTTGCCGGAAGTGGAGACTTGGGGACCGCTTCATGGTGACGGATGACCTGCTTCGATTCTTGGAAAGGGCTGAGCAGACCAGCGGTCCACCGACGAGTCGAAGAGATCGAAGGCTGAGAATGGAGCAGGAAGATGGGGAACACATTCCCCTGAGGCCGCGCCAGCTTTGCTACATCCTCGACGACCAAGGTGAGTAAAACACTTGAGCATGGCCATACACTCCTTCAAGAAGAAGAGTTAAATCTTCTTAGAATAAATAGTTGTATTTATAGTTTTAAACTCTAGCATAACTAGTTGTATTTTTCCTCGTTATCCTGCCACCACCTCTAAGGCAAGGGACCATACCTCCTATCAACCTTATCCTATCAAAGCTTTTATTCAGTTAAAATGTAGTACTGGACTGTCTATGGAAAATATTTTGTAAAAGTATTTTAATTTACATGCAGCTTAATTTACATTTGGATGGAAACCAAATGACTTTAAATATTTCCGTTTGATTAAATATACCCGACTCAAATAACATTTAAGAAACAGTACTAAACTGTTTACGCATCGCTTTCATCAAAGTGTTATAGTTTTCCGGCCACTGTTTTGATAGCATTAACAAAATCAAGTAGAACAAGGGTTGTGTCTTGAAAGGACTGTGTTGACTCCATCGGGTTAGGCAAAAGTCTGGAACCCCCCCATTAACTTTAAAACGAATCACGCCAAGGAAACTAAACTGAGCACACCTTTATATGAAATGAAAATGCACTTTTTGGTCAGTATAAAAATTTTTTCCGGGACCCCAAAATGGGGGATTTTGGGGGCAACTCAAAAATTTCAAAGGTTAAGCCCCATCGAGTGACACCTCATTTTGAAGGTCTTGATTTAAGAAAACAAACAACGCAAACTAGAGGTCCCTATCTTAACCCAGTCAAAAATGGCGGTCACTTGAAATTTCAAAAAAAGCAATTTGGAAATTTGAATAAAAAGTAATAACCCCCCTTCTAAGTTTTTTCTAATGTTAATTACAAAGATATCCTTTTGGTGGTTGTGCAACCTTCGCAGGTACTTTATTATTGTCATTTCAAAAATTTTGAATTTGCACCGAAAATGGGGGATTTTGGGGGCAACTCAAAAATGTCCAATTTTAAGCCCCATCGAGTGACACCTCATTTTGAAGGTCTTGATTTAAGAAAACAAACAACGCAAACTAGAGGTCTCTATCTTAACCCAGTCAAAAATGGCGGTCACTTGAAAATGCATCGCACTATTTAATAACCTCTTATGAAGATTCTTGATCAATAAACAGTCAATAAACAGTGCGTACTAAAGTTTTATTAAAAAGCAAAACGTTATTAGACGAAATTTATGTTACAATTCTTATTAATCACTATCTTTCAATATGGCGTAGGAAAACATCTTAACATTAATAATTATTATCAAATTTTATTGCTTCTACTCACCTAATTTCCTTATAAAAGATGCTCGAATTGCTCCCCTTGTACTGTCTGGACATGTGCTAGCCTGTTGTAAAAATGTGAAACAGCATGTTGAATGGATTCTCGTGGAACATTGTGAATTTCCTCAACTATCCTGTTCCTCAGATCATTGATGCACTGTGGTTTTGTTTTATACACATTATCTTTAATGTGGCCCCAAGCAAAGTAATCAAGTGGTGACAAATCAGGTGACCTTGCAGGCCACTCGACAGCCCCTCGTCTCCCTATCCAGCGATTTGGAAACATGTTGTTCAAATACGTGCGGACATCCCGGCCATAGTGTGGAGGTGCTCCATCTTGCTGGAACCAAATCTGATCACTGTTATTAGTTGCTAACTGGACAGCGGGAATAATCTGCTGTTGGAGCATTGTCAGGTACACTGCACAGTTAAGATTACCTTCAATGAAGAACGGTCCGATAAATCTATCTCCTACAATACCAAGCCAAACATTTAATTTTTCCGGATGTTGTGTATGTTGTTCTCTCATCCAGCGAGGGTTTTCATCAGACCAGTAGCGACAATTATGCCTGTTGACATTTCAGTTTACCATAAAAGTTGCTTCATCTGAGAAAACAATGTTATTTAATTGAATAGTATTGTTATCAATACGTGACATCATTAACTCGCAAAATTCTACTCGACGATCGAAGTCATCCTCAGATATTTCCTGAACTAAATGAAGTTTGTATGCTTTAAAACCGCTGTCGTGTAAAACTCTACGCACTGATCTTTGGGAGATCTCTACACTTAGGCCAACAACATTTGTTGAGACATGGGGATTTTCTACAACAGATTGCAAAACATCCAATGACTTTTCTTCGTTTGTAGCAGTTTTCGGTCTTCCTGATCTGGGACGGTCCTTGACACTGCCTGTCTCTTCAAAACGTTGAACAGTTTTTATTACTACTGATTTTGAAATAGGGTTACGATTAGGAAAAGAATCATTAAATAAGTTTTTTACCTGTACATATCTTCTGATTCTGTCACCATATCCTCGCATAATTAGTATAGTGATCCGCTCTTGTTCACTCAGCTCCATTTTACAGTAAAATTATGAAACATACCATATTGGCTAGTGGTTAGTCTCACCCAAATGCCAGTCTGATAGTTACTGATAAGGTTGTGGTCCTAGAATGTCAAAGCCGGTGAAAGTTGCCCTCAAGAGTTATTGTTTTCCAATGTGGGTTTTTCGAGTAATGCGGCTGGTTTTCCTCAATGTACAATAATTGTAAGTGAACTAATAAAATTACTCTGGAAGTAGATGACAAAGTTTGGTTTGCACAATTTGTTTTCTTAAATCAAAATCTTCAAAATGAGGTGACACTCGATGGGGCTTAAAATTAGACATTTTTGAGTTGCCCCCAAAATCCCCCATTTTCGGTGCAAATTCAAAATTTTTGAAATGACAATAATAAAGTACCTGTGAAGGTTGCACAACCACCAAAAGGATATCTTTGTAATTAACATTAGAAAAAACTTAGAAGGGGGGTTATTACTTTTTATTCAAATTTCCAAATTGCTTTTTTTGAAATTTCAAGTGACCGCCATTTTTGACTGGGTTAAGATAGGGACCTCTAGTTTGCGTTGTTTGTTTTCTTAAATCAAGACCTTCAAAATGAGGTGTCACTCGATGGGGCTTAACATTTGAAATTTTTGAGTTGCCCCCAAAATCCCCCATTTTGGGGTCCCGGAAAAAATTTTTATACTGACCAAAAAGTGCATTTTCATTTCATATAAAGGTGTGCTCAGTTTAGTTTCCTTGGCGTGATTCGTTTTAAAGTTAATGGGGGGGTTCCAGACTTTTGCCTAACCCTGTATAAGTAGTAAGCTTAATTCTCATTTTGAAAATTCATTTATTAGCCCACAATGTTAAATGAGTCGATGCCCGTGTCAGCAACAGATAGACACGGCTCATCGGTGCAAAAATTTACGTTTTCTACCCCTACTCCTTCGGTCGAAGAATCGTCCGAAGGAGCAGACGAGGAAGGAGCAGACGAAGAAGGAAAAGAAAAAGGAGAGGTACATTTGGAGTTTGAAAAATATTAGAAAACCCAGATAAGGATAAAGAGATGTTCCTGAGGTGATATCCCCACCTGGAAGTATAATCAGGAAGTAGTTAGTATTTTCTCCTACTGGAGGTAACATCAAGGTATGTTAGCAATAAAAGTGATCTGGCGCGGAGACGGCGATCTCGTGTGTTGGTTGCAGTTGCAGTGAACCGTTGTGGCGACCTTGTGTAGTCAGTGGGTTAGCGGGTCCGTTGTGTAATGTCAAGTGCAGTTGCAATGCGGATAGTGAGTTATTAGTTTAAGGTGTGTGCAGTTCAAGGTAACCGAAAACTGCAATTTGGGTTATGGCCGGTGAGTGGAGCCGATAGTATAAAGACTAAGTACTCCCAAACTCAATATCAGTTTCGAACATGATCTTCAACGTCTTGTTTGAGTTCGAGTCCATCGCCGAGGGGAGAGAAGCTCTGGCGAAGCTTCGACGCCACTTTGAGGTTGTACCATCGAAGACGTACGAAGTGGTAGAAGACGTCACCAGCTATTCACCAGGTAAATAAGGTAGTGGAATAATAACAAATTTCTGTTAATATGTGTCATATTATGTCTCATTGAAAAATTACAACATTTGGAGAGCGGTTGGTGACGCCGGTACATTTTACTTTGTACGTCCCGTTAGCCAGCGTATCTACATCCGATTGGGACAGAGTTTGTCCGAACCGTTTTGGTAGAAACACCATTTTCACAATGTTGTACACTAATATCTCTAGAATAACGCTAATCCCGTATTGTGCGTGGCTGTGTAATCGTGCCGCTGTGATTATGTACCCAGCATGGTTGGTAAGCTCGGTCATTGCGATTCTAGAGGGTCCCTCGACAACCTCCAGCTTGTTCAGTTTTGTACGGAGATCAGCAGACATGGTTCTGAAACATATAATCCTGTTAGAGTGAATGCCGCGATCGTGTCACCTGCCGCTGCTTTGTGTTTGGAGACCGGGGTTTATTTATCTAGTACGAATGGTAAATGAGCTTTTCACCACACTATGGTGTTTTTGGCTGTATTACATACGTTAATTGGTGGCTGAAAGTTACGTTTTGCTGGCCATGCCAGCTGTCATCGTAATTTGGGGACCGAGCAGGTTTTTATAGGGCGGGGCCGCAA